TTACGCAATCGGGTGGTGGAACATATTCCGAATTGGGTCCAAAATCAGCTGACCCAATTGAGGTCAAGTCCGCTGCATAGAAACGACGGTCGAAACTACAAGACCCCATCCTCAGCAATTGCTCGACATCTGCTGATGACGCAACACCAGGTCGACCGAGGCACAGTGTTTCGAATTGTCTACAAGTCACATGTCGCAAGATTGCTAAGGTTTGCCGAAGCGATTGCGATTAATCGATGGAAGCCCCCCCCTGCGTCAGCAAAAAGAACTTTATGTTAGTCTCTCCCTACCCAGGTGATATTGGTCCTTTTACCCCTCTCTCTTTTATGTTTTGTTTGTTTTTAATGTATTTTGCTTTACTTTGTTGCCATGCTAAAGCCCTATATAAACATTGTATTTTCTGCAGTATGCATCATGTTGAGATGCAGCGAAATCATCCTCGACATAAATCGTGCAGTATTAACATATGGTCTTTTCTTTTGAAATTAATCTCGGAAAGGCTTGTTTCAAACCATTGTAGTCGCCAATATTGTATTAGCATCGACAGCCATATAAGATTAAATTACCGATTTCTGACCGCTTCATTTGGGAGCTGATTTCTCCATCGTACTCCCAGAATGATCCTTAGGCACCGGTGATCGAAGACTTCTAATCGTGGACAGTCTTGGACTCTAAGTGGCCAGGTTTTGCAACCGTGTAGCGGATAAAACTCGTATTTTGTATTTAGACTGACTTCACCTCTACACCAAAGGGAATTCTTCAGCTGTTTCTACACCTTTCTTGCAGCATCGAGGTGCAATTGTACCTCGTCTTTAGCTTGGCCGTTGGGGAGTATGGCTGATTCCGGGTATCTGACGGATTTGATCAGTTATCCGTTTAGTAATAAAGTATCTTCAGGATGAATTGGGATTGTCGCAAACGTTTTGGTTTTTTATGTATTTACCTCTCAGCCGATCTCGGAGGCTTGTTGACTGATGCAGTCAACTATTACTTGGAGGCTGGACATGTCCTCACCAGAGATGGCAATATCTTCAGTCAATTGTAGGTCGGTAAGTCATAAGTTCGGAGAGATCTAAACTCCCTAGTATGCTTCTATCGAAAGACCCATTATCCAGGCAACGGCAGCGTTCAACAGCATCGGGGACAATGGGCATCCCTGATCCTAACTGGAACGCGCATGACTCCTCCCCGTAGATGCGGATTCAGGCACTAGTGTTGGAATGAGGTTGACAAGTTTAACTGGGGAACCATCGCCCGGATCTACGTTTCATAGGGATTCAAGATCGAATACCCCACGAAAATCAATGAAGCAGACTACTTTGGATTGTTGCAGCTTGTAGCGAATTTTTTAGAATCGACGTAAGGTGAACATTTTATAAACGCAGCACGCACAGGGGCGGAACCCATCGTGAATGGATGAGAAAGTAATAGCCGGTGGACTGTTTGTCCATCGTTGAAGTACCACGTCAGAAGATGCATTTTTGGATGTTAAAATTGTGTGTTAGTTGTAAACATTAGATTATAATCTATAATTAGATTATAGTCTAACACTATTCTCGCGGCGCTGGCCCAGAACAAACCTGTCTATTATGTGCATCGTGGCCTCTTTGAGCTCTGAGCCAAGCGCTGCTCAGAATCGTGATAAATTACACCAGCTCCAAAAGAAGAAGACCCCCCCATTGGACGTAGCCATTACGTAGCACTTCTATTCAAATATGTTTGTTACGCTTCTATTCACGGAAGTTCCCCAGATAACACGCGCAGATCCACAAATTATGCACGGTTGAACAACTTGGCGCTCTATAATCAGTGGGTTTCCTAACTTTTTACATGTTTTTCATCTGTACTTCCTTTTTCATCGAATAAACAATGATACCCTTTTTCAGGGAGGGGGAGGCGGCCAATCAAAGGGCTGCTATACTGTTGTGAGATACTACTCACTTATGAGTAGTAGATAACATAGTTAATGATTACTTTCAACGACCAAAAATCAACAAGATCACTGAAGGCAACTTCCTGGGTCTCAAAGAAGAACTGTCGATTTCCATATTCATTGCCCGTCGTGTGGACAGGAACTGCGATGGTATGTTTCTGATCAGATTTTTGTTATGCATGCCAAATGGGCGATGTCCCATCTGAACTCCTCAATAAACGAATAACCCTACCAGCACCGTCTTCTGGAATCATAACAATACAAGATACAATGGGGAAAGTCAGGATTTGAACATATGTCCCCGGGGGGGATAATTTGGTGACGTTACCACCAGGCCACTACCGCCCGGTGGCCTGACGAAGAACCCAATCCGTTGGTCGCCTGGCAAAAATTTATTGACAGTCTTACAAACCTAATGACCTCAGTAGCTAAGATGAGAGTAACCACCAAATCCAACATCCAAAATCCACCTATTCGAAGCCGAGCAAGGAAATGCCTATCTATGAGGGATTTATCCTGGCGAGATTATGAACGGTTTCCGGATGTTGTCGCGCTAACTACCGACCTGTAACCCTGCTTCCGGTATTATCGAAAGTCATGGAGTCAATTCTGGTCGATTCTGTGATGGAACAACTCGAAAGATATAACATTATTTCGACAGCTCAACATGGGTTCAGGCAAAAGCGACCCTGCTCCACCAACCAGCTTCTTGTTCGAGATGAATGGACCAAAACAGTCGATGAGAAGGATGCGATGTGATTTATCTCGACTTTTTGAAAGCATTTGATCGGGTAAATCATCAAATTTTATTACAGAAGCTCTATAATTACGACATTCGAGATTTCGTGTTCGACTGGATTAGAGCATTCCTCAGTTAGTGTTTCTGATTCCTTATCCGGATCTATCAACGCCACCCGCGGTGTTCCACAAGGGTCTGTACACGGTCCCCGTCTTTTCTTCGCATTTATAAATGAATACCGAATGTGCTATGTCCGAAAATAATAGTGCTTGAGGACGACGCCAAAATCTGGAATACACTAACACAACCCAAGGGCTCTCTAACACTTCAAGAATCACTTAACGCAGCTTAGCAATGGTCTAAAGAGAATGGCATTGAATTCAACATTTTTAAAGGCAAAGTCCTATCCCTAAGTCACAAGAGAAGATTCTCGTATTTCCTCGGGAATCAGCAGCTACCACATACCTCAACTGACAAGGACTTAAGTATAACTGTTCAAGAGAACTTAAGCTGCTCGATCAATTGCGCGAAGGCTTCCTCCGCTGCTGCGAACAATGTTGGCTTGCCTAGGTGAGTCTTTGGTAGGTTTGGATCAGGACTGTTCCCATGTTTGCTATCAGTGTACATTCGACCGTACACAAAGTACGCCATCCAAGCTTGGAGTCCATGGTTGCAACGTGATCGCAAGATGCTTGAGTGTCCACAAAGGATGGCCACCAAGATGGTCAAGGGCTAGCATTACCTCACCTATGAGGAGAGATTACGATCATTGGGACTATATTCTGCTCAATACCGCCGAACTCTGGGAGACTTGATTTGGACGTATCAAATAATGTAGAACCTAAACCATTCATGTCAGCCACTGCTCGTGTTATCGAGCAATATACACCTTAGGGGACATCGTTTCAAGTTATTGATTACAAAGTGTCGACTGGAATGCCGGCACCAATCTTTTGCAGTCAGATTATGCAGTACTTGGAACATCCTTCTGTCTAAAGTCGTTTGTGCACCAACTGTTGAATCTTTCAAGCGGAGACTCGAAGAAACCCTGGTACATTTCACATTCCTATAAAACTAAAAACAAGCCTAAATACGTTGAAGATAATATTATTTGTTATCTCCTACCTGGAACTCTATGTGAGTTTTTTCGCCGTGAAACGATTCAATTGTGTAAATATTCTATGGAGACAAGAGAAACATGAGTTTGTAATTCCCGTAATAAAGCTTTGACTTCGACACAATTCAAAGTGAGAAAATCAGAACATGAAAGAACAGTGCGCGCTTCTTTGGTTCAACAGTTTTGCTGTGGAGGTGTACATGTGACCAGTCGAGTATCGGCAATCTTGGTAGTAATCATCCCCAAAACCGAATTTATATAGAAGAAAGAGTGAACCTGCGGGCAACGTGTGGCTATTTCAGCCTCATTTTAGTGAACACAAAGTTGTACTACGTTCTCGGGAAAAGGAAAGCGCTAAAGGACCGACAAGGTGCATCACAAGCAGAGAACTTTGACAGCGGTGGCAGGATCCAGACACACAGATGACCGGATGGCGATTGAAAAGTCGGGTATATCTCAGCGCTAGCCACTGGGCACTGACTCGATCCGGAACATCATGAATGAAACGAATGCACAAATATGAGAAGATTCACGCAATAGTGCTCCATTACCAAGTGCTTCGGTATACTTGGTTTCAGATATTTGCAAAAAAACACCCACAGGTACCATAAATCACCTTGGGAGCAATGGGCTTTTAAGTGAACGGAATTAATCTTGTTCCACGTCGAGGAGAATATTTTCTCCGCCTGCTTCATCAGGATAATTGCAGACTAATCAGTTTTGAAGCACAAAAAGATTATTTTCACCGAGCAAGTGGAAAAACAAAGGTGTGTGAAAAAGGGAGAAAACTGGCAATCGAACAAGAATTTCATTAAATGTAAGGTTTCAATCAAAAGCTTACTTGGATTTCGGAACCGGTGCGTTGGTCAGCAAATCGTAGGGCAGTGGGGTGCAAATTGCGTTGATCGAGCTACACCGATCCGGGGGATCCATGGATTCCGATCGTGCGGATGGGGACGATGTAAACAAAGCGGTCTGTCGGACGTGAAAACCGGATCTGAAATCTGAACGAACCGACAGTTGATTCTGATCGGCAGCTGTGGTGCGGTGAACAGAGGCGTTGGAACGTCGCATTGGTGACTCCATATGTGATGATAATTCACGAGCTAAGGAAGAGGACTCTTGTTCAAAAGTGCTGAACGAGTAACACCGTCTTCGCGTTGTAAGAAAACGTTGTTGGGGATCTAACGAGACTAAATCAACCTTCTGACCGCCGGACTCCCTGCGCCTGTAAAAGATCGGACCGTTCCCCATCAACGGAATAGGTAGAACAAAAGAAAAGATATTAAAAAGTGAGAGAAATACCCAATTATTTGCCCATATTAGCTCAAAAGTCGGAAAAATACGGAACAACGATGCATTAACTATCAACGACAATGTTTATTGCCAACGGGATGATCGGTCAGGCACCTCTACACGCAAAAGATCAAAGAAATTTAATAGTATCAGTCTCTCCTGTGCAAGATAGGTTGCATTCTTCAACCTTGCTATCAACTCGTTTCAGTAGTCAGCCAGCGCGGCCGGGTCGGAAGGCAGGGCGATGTCACGTTGATTGTATCTCATCTTTTTGCAGTCATCAAGTCGTACAGACAATTTGGCACAAACCAGTGCGCGAGCAGAGTAAAAACAGGCAAACCAATACGAGCGGCAGTCTTCCACACATTCCCTCCATTCATAGCAAATAGCTATATGATCAATATGAGCCCAAAGAGCGGTTACACCAAATGGCGAAGTGATGCTTTAGGTGTCTGAAGTTCGTGCTACTGAGGAACAGGCGGTGTTCTGAGCATTTTCTCATAATTCTGTTTAGGGGTTTGGATAACAAGAATATACAACAGACAGCAAGAACAAAGCTACCTGTAAGACAAATTGCAATTTGTATCCACAGTAAGGATCAGAAAGAAGGATAGATTCTTGCAAAGGCATTTAAAATCAACATTAGTGGTGAGCAGCATTAAGAATAAATCACAGGTCGTCATTTCGAACAAACCTGTTTTGGCTACACTGTGGATCACATTATTCAGCGGCCGAGCGAAAATTCCCCGACTATTATTCATTCATATAAGGAGGAAAATTGTGATAGTCTCTGGCTCAATGGCCCTCTAGCGAAGCTCACAGCGCTTAGCAATACTTCATCCAAAAGTCTGTACGTAACTAGCTCAGCGGACGTGCACAGTGCATCCAGGGCTTTTCAGCGGTACACTAATGTGGGGCAAGTTCGCATCGCTTGAGCAATCACTCTAGATCATCATTCCGCGTACTGTACAATGAAGTGAACTTCAGTGGACTGTCCGATCCATAATATAAACAAACTACTGGGAACGTCTTTCAGATAGAAAGAATTCTTGATAGACGGGACTAAAAAACGCCCCCAAAAGTCTCAGTATGGTCGTGGGTGGGTGTCTAGGGTTTCGGCTGGTCGCCCTCCTCTTGCACCTCGCAAAATGCTCCCATACGACCAAGCGTCTCGAATAGCTTCTGCTGAGGAAGCCCTACTCAATGCCTTCTCGTGGTGGTGTTTACCCACCAAAGTGAGAGGACGAAAAGCCGACATTCGGGGTTATAACCGGGTTGGTAGTTCACCTAGGGGAGTTGGCCAAAAATCCTGATTCCAAACCAACCACACGCACAACTTCCTGATTGTGGCAGTGGTCACCGAGGTGTATTGGGCACCTTAGACGTTTGACCCTATCCAAAGGGTGTATGATCCGATGAACTGGACACCGGCCCTCAATGGAT